TTATTAAAAAATAAATTAACCTAGCAGCTGGGTTAGTCCGTATTTCACCTAGAGTTGGGTTAAAATAACCCAGAATTTTTTAAAAATTGCGTCATTTAAATTAACCAAAAAAATAACTACAAAAATAAATACAGAATAAAACTCAATGTCGGGTTTGCTTTTAGAGTGCGCAGCATGCATTACTGATACCACTAAATATATGATAAACATTCAAACTCACTAAATACATATACAAAATTATTATACAATAAATATAAAATAATAACACAACGTCGGGTTTGTTGTAGAGTGTACAGCATGCATTACTAATGCAACCAAATAAATGCAAGCTTGCACAATCATGCACAAAACACATGCACACACATTTAAACGTTAGTTAACATATTACATTACATTTATAAATGCATGCATGAACGCGCAATTATTACAGTGCATAAAAAAATGTCTCTAGTCACTTACTCTCTCTCTCTCACACACACACACACCCACACACTCACACACATAGCGGTGAATTAAAGGCAAGAGCTCGTGAACATCCATCACGCCGGTGCTCAAGCAGCCGATACTGGAGCTCCAGAGCCGCTTCGGAGCCGCACACAGTAACCGATTCACTGCTGGCTCCAGAAGCGTAATTTATTTCCGATAGAAGTGCTCATCAATAGCAGGACATTAAAGCGAGGAGACACAGAGCTCATTTGTGTAGCGTTGACTAAGACAGCTCTAAAGTGAGGCCATTACTTCTGCAGGCCTACACACATCTGCTCTACACTAACTAAAAGCACAAGGCTAAACTGCAGAGATAATTACCGCGCGGCGTATGAAGATGCAAACTTCGAGACATTACTCAGAGTGGTGCATGCATTTAATATCATTGGGGGAAGTTGTGAAAATGTGTTTACTTTTTTATAAGAGTTGAATCTAAATCAATCCAGAGGCATTTTAGGGTGAGTTAAAATGTCATTTAAATGCAGTTGAACAAATTAAGCTGAACGGGTTTGTCCGTGTTTGATCTAATGCTGGATTTTAGAATGGTTAATTTAAACGAAGCATTAAAGATATGATTTAATACACTGTAAAAATGCTATGTTGTCATAACTCACTGTTGGCAGTTTCTAATATAAAAGAAAATGCAAATGTTAAGATAAACTGAAGGCCGAGTAGTAGTTCAGAGATTTGCGTATTATTTACAAAATGCTGAGTTGTTGATACTCAATGTTGGGTTATGTAAACAGTTTCTAAACTATTAAAAAATGAAAATCTTCAGAGAAAGTGAATACTTCATAGACATAATACATTAGCTAAAGGCCAGATATAGTAGTTCAGAGATTTACACATTCATTTCACACATAAAAATTGCTGTTATAACCCAACATTGGGTCAAAGTGCCATTAAAAAAATGCACTGCATTTGTACAGTATCAATTATATACAGCAAAACAATGTTAAATTTACGTGATCAGAATGTCGCATACAATGCATTAACATATGAATATCAATCAAATTATTATTAATGCATCCACGAAAACAAGTCTGTGAGTGAATATGATTAAATAAATATGATTTAAAATGATTATATAGCTGTGGCTTTACCGCGGATCGCCGAAGCTGCTGCTCCATGCCTTGCGTTCATTCTTCTCTGCACCAAAACTTTCTGACCTACGCGCCCCCCCTCACCCCGGGTCAAAAAACATAATTAATCAGTGTCAGTCAATATATTGATCATATTTATCAATGGCCACCCAAAAGGAACTGCACGCTTTTGGTGCCAGCGCTCTGGGAAAGCTGAACACGGCTACCCGACAGAAGCACTCCTGCCCCGGTGGAGAGCTTCATTTACACTGTATATTAAATATAAAACTGAAGTAACGCTTCTCTCTTGATGACTTGTTATCAAAAAAATCTAATGCACAATTACATTTAGTAAATTATATTTTTGACCACCAGTGTTTGTCTTTTGAATATAGTCTTTACAGAAAATCTAAACATTGCACATTTGAAAAAATAGGCCTCTTATTTATAGTTTAAAAAGATAAGTAGCCTTTACATTCATATATGAAGGTTTATATTTATATTATGCATATTATTGTGTTTATAATATGCGTCATGCTAGCTTTGCAATGCCTTATTTTTTAGATATGATGTTTTGGATCAATATTATGGGCCTTTTAATACAATATTAATTAAATGCACATTTAAAAATGTGCGAAGAGTATAAAAAATACAAGCATATACAATTGCAAACATACATGGTTATATATAGCATGCAATGTACTTCTTGTGATGTTATGAAATTAGCGAAATGTGTAGCCTATCATGATTTTAGTTAGTCGTATGTTATAAAAAATAACAGCAGAATATCTAGAATAACAAAAAACGACTGATGTAAAAAGTATATACATATATATAATACTAAATATTACACAAAAATACCAAAATACACGTTTTTATTCTATATTAAGAAGGCTTATCGAGCTGTTTTCACTTTAAGAAGAGAAAGTGAACTTACATTTACGCACCAGCGATAGTAGAACAGGCGAGACTTCAGCACCGCGGCCAGCGCACGTCACACACACACACACACACACACACACACACACACACACACACACACACACACACACACACACACACAAAGCCAGACGCGCGTCCCGCCCCTCAGCAGACGCGCTGTTGTGCCGCGGATGATCCACACGCGCACTGACCGCTCCGCGATTTAACCGGACAAAACCTCCAGCACACCATGTCGGACTGAATGCACACTCTAAAAATCGATGGATTGGTTTTAAAATCGTTTCCCGGGGAAAATACGGTCTTTTGCGCGGGTCAGGAAGGCGATCTTCCCTTCGCATCACGATGGAGCTCACGATGGAGAACATTGGAAACATGCACGGCGTCGCGTCGCACGGCCAGCCAGGAGACCTGATGAATTCGTCGCACGGGAGACCACCGTCGGCTTCGCACCGGAATCTGGTCTCCCACGGCCGCTCGGCGATGGTGTCCAGCATGGCTTCGATTCTGGAGGGCGCCGGTGATTACCGGAGCGACCCCGCGCTTTCCGGACACCTGCATCCCGCTATGACCATGTGCGAGTCGGGGATGAGTTTATCGAACACGTACACCACCCTCACACCTCTTCAGCACCTGCCACCGATTTCTACAGTGTCCGATAAGTTTCACCACGCGCACCCGCACCCGCACCATCACGCCGCGCACCAGCGGCTCGCCACCGGGAACGTCAGCGGGAGTTTCACCCTCATGCGGGACGACCGCGGCCTCGCTTCAATGGGAAACCTGTACGGCCACTATCCTAAAGAGATGTCAGGCATGGGTCAGCCGCTGTCCCCGCTATCCAACGGACTCGGCTCACTGCACAATTCCCAACAAGCGCTATCCGCGTACGGACCCGGTGCGCACATCCCCAATGATAAGATGCTTTCTCCGGGCGGCTTTGAATCACATGCGGCGATGCTTTCCCGAAGCGAGGAGCACCTAGCGCGGAGTTTAGGAGGGCACGGGCATGGGATGATCTCCAATCTGAATGGCATGCACGCTCACGGGCATCTGCACACCCCGGCGAACGGCTCCATGCTGGCCGACAGAGAGAGGCACGGCGGCGGGCCAGGGCAAAGCGGCGGCTCGGGGCAGGTGGAGGAGATCAACACCAAAGAGGTGGCGCAGAGGATCACGGCCGAACTCAAGCGCTACAGCATCCCCCAAGCCATTTTCGCCCAGAGGATCTTGTGTCGCTCGCAGGGAACTCTGTCGGACCTGCTGCGCAACCCGAAGCCCTGGAGTAAACTCAAGTCCGGCCGCGAGACTTTCCGGCGCATGTGGAAGTGGCTGCAGGAGCCCGAGTTCCAGAGGATGTCTGCGTTACGGCTTGCAGGTAAGTCTTCCTCACATCCTCAGACGTTTTTAGTACGAAAAATAATAACAAATTATACATTTAAAGATAAAGGTTTGATAGAAGAAGCGTTTTCGGCCGCGCAGAAAAGGTGTTAATGGTTGCATGCATGTTCAATATTCTTCATGGAACCACACATGACAGAAATAACATTAACACTCAGGAGAAAATAGATCATAATTATGGCAGTTTTGTAATGTTATTATTAATATTGTGTGTGGATGTGTGTTTGACAAAAAAGGTCTCTCTAAAACAAGTTTATTTAGTTAATTATATTAATATTTAATTACAGAAAATGGTTTTAGAGAGGCCTTTTGCCATTTCCTTTCATTAATATATACGTGAATTTAGAAACAAAAGTTTTTAATTAGTTATATTTGATATATATTGAAGTCAGAATTATTAGCCCCCCTAAATTATTAGACCCCCTGTTTATTTATTCCCCACTTTCTGTTTAACGGAGAGGAGTGTTTTCCAACAGATTTCTGCACATAATAGTTTTAATAACTAATTTTTTTTGCCATGACGACAATTAGATTATTAGGTTAACTAGGCAAGTTTTGTATAATAATGGTTTGTTCTGCAGACTATTAAAAATGTAGCTTAAAGGGGCTAATAATATTGACCTAAAATTGATTTTAAAAAAATTAAGAACTGCTTTTATTCTAGCCGAAATAAAACAAATAAGACTTTCTGCAGAAGAAAAAATATTATCAGACATACTATGAACATTTCCTGAATCTGTTCAACATCATTTGGGAAATATTAAAAAAAGAAAACAAAATTTAAAGGGGGCGAATAATTCTGACTCCAACTGTACATCTCTCAATATAGAGACTTTTGTGTTTCAGACTGGGTTATTTTTAAAAACCTAAAAGTAATTGATCAATCTGAAGATTTAGCACATTTTCCATTAAAAGCGATGCAACAGACACACATCTCTGTGTAAAGACAAATTCACACACTCTAACTGTAATGCAAAGCTGCTCAAGCAAAAGCCAAACTATATTTTTTATATTTTTAATGTTGAATATCTGCGTGTGTGTCATTTATTAATCTGATGCTGTTCAGAATATTTGTGCTTCTAAAAGTGGCAGAATAAGATCACAAATACACACATCATATATTTATGAGGACAAATATAACCATATAATATCACTGGAATGATAAAATACTACAGCAAATGTGCTTGAAAGAAAAGTTTTGCACAATAATAGTGCATTTATTTACAATGTTTAAATAGCCTATATGTGTAAGGACAAAGACATAACTGCTTGCAAAACTACTAAGGCAAATGTATACAAGGACTACACGTTTTGCACAATAATAATGCATTTAAGCACATTCTGATGGTGGAATATCTGCATTTGTGTTGATTACAGCTGCACTCAATTCAATATTGTTAAACATTGGTCACACTTCACAATAAGGTTTCTTTAGTTCATATATTTACTAACATGAACCCATAATGAACAATACTTGTCCAGCTTTTATTAATCAAAGTTAGTCAATGCATTAGTAACATCCAATGTCTGCTAGTTAATGCACTGTGAGCTAACATGAACTAACAATTAAGAAGTACCGCAATAAATGCATTGTACATTGTTTGTTCATAGTAAATACAATAACTAACACAACTAATCAAATCTAATTGTAAAATGTTACCTCTATACATTATAAACAATCAAAAGAGACCTCATTTGCTGGGATTTAGAGTCAGTTTTCTTGTCTCGGTGTGGAAAGTGTGGATGTGTTCTGCATTGGATGATCATCAAACACTAATGAACCATTCGCTGTAAGGGGCTGATAATATATATAGTGCATGAATAGTGCATTTATTTCTATTTCTGGAATATCTGCGTGATAAAATGTTACCTCTATACTTTATAAACAATCCAAAGAGCCATCATTTGCTGGGAGTTAGAGTCATTAGAGTCAGCTTGTGTTCATGTGGTCTGGACTGGATGGCCGTCAAACACTAATGAACCATTCGCTGTCAAAGGCTGTAAAAAAACAACAAAAATAAAAATAAATAAATAAATGTACATAGTGCATTAATAGTGCATTTATTTCTATTTCTGGAATATCTGTGTGTGTGTCATTTACCAATCAGATGCTGTTTAGAATATTTTGTTTTCTAAAAGTGGCAGAATAAGATCATAAATACACACATCATACATTTTTAAGGACAAACATAACAGTATAATGTACCTCTACTTGGAAACTACAACGTTTTGCACAATAATAGTGCATTTATTTACTTTTTAGATCGTGGAATATCTGCATTGTGTGTCACTTTGAGATCACAAATACGCAGATCATATATGTGTAAGGACAAAAACACAACTGCTTGCAAAACTACTAAAGCAAATATATGTTTACAAGGGCAACATGTTTTGCACAATAATAACGCATTTAAGCACATTCTGATGGTGGAATATCTGCATTTGTGTTGATTACAGCTGCACTCAATTCAATATTGTTAAACATTGGTCACACTTCACAATAAGGTTTCTTTAGTTCATATATTTACTAACATGAACTCATAATGAACAATACTTGTCCAGCTTTTCTTAATCATAGTTAGTCAATGCATTAGTAACATCCAAATTCACGTCTGCTGGTTAATGCACTGTGAGCTAACATGAACTAACAATTAAGAAGTACCGCAATAAATGCATTGTACATTGTTTGTTCATAGTAATAACTAGCACAACTAATATAATCTTAAAATGTTACCTCTATACTTTATAAACAATCCAAAGAGCCATCATTTGCTGGGATTTAGAGTCAATAGAGTCAGCTTGTGTTCATGTGGTCTGGACTGGATGACCATCAAACACTAATGAACCATTCGCTGATATTATACATAGTGCATTAATAGTGCATTTATTTCTATTTTTGGAATATCTGCGTGTGTGTTATTTACCAATCAGATGCTGTTTAGAATATTTTGTTTTCTAAAAGTGGCAGAATAAGATCATAAATACACACATCATACATTTTTAAGGACAAACATAACAGTATAATGTAACTATACTTGGAAACTACAACGTTTTGCACAATAATAGTGCATAGATTGTGGAATATCTGCATTGTGTAATTTTATAAGTGTCACTTTGAGATCACAAATACGCAGATCACATATTGGTAAGGACAAAAACACAACTGCTTGCAAAACTGCTAAAGCAAATATATTTATAAGAAACGTACATTTACAATTACATTTAGTCATTTAGCAGATGCTTTTATCCAGAGCGACTTACAAATGAGGACAAGGAAGCAATTTACACAACTATAAGAGCAACAATGAACAAGTGCTGTAGGCGAGTTTCAGGTGTGTAAAGTGTAAGAAGCAAAACATTAGTAATTTATTTATTTATTTATTTTTTGTAGTTCAGTTAGCGCTGGAGCCAGAGAGGGAATTGCAGATTAGGAAGGGAAGTGGAGACTAAATAGTTGAGTTTTTAGCCGTTTCTTGAAGACAGCGAGTGACTCTGCCGTTCTGATGCAGTTAGGGAGTTCATTCCACCAACTGGGCAGATTGAATGCGAGAGTTCGGGAAAGTGATTTCTTCCCTCTTTGGGATGGAACCACAAGGCGACGTTCATTCACAGAACGCAAGTTTCTGGAGGGCACATACATCTGCAGAAGTGAGAGCAGATAAGAAGGAGCAAAGCCAGAAGTCGCTTTGTAAGCAAACATCAGAGCTTTGAATTTGATGCGAGCAGCAACTGGCAGCCAGTGCAAACGGATGAGCAGCGGAGTGACATGTGCTCTTTTAGCTTCATTAAAGACCACTCGTGCTGCTGCGTTCTGGAGCAGCTGAAGAGGTTTGATAGAGTTAGCTGGAAGCCCGGCTTGTAGAGAGTTGCAATAGTCCAGTCTGGAGAGAACAAGAGCTTGAACAAGGAGTTGAGCTGCATGTTCAGATAGGAAGGGTCGGACCTTTCTGATGTTATAGATTGCGAATCTGCACGATCGAGCAGTTCTAGAGATGTGGTCAGAGAAGTTTAGTTGGTCGTCAATCGTTACTCCAAGGCTTTTCACTATTTTGGATGCAGTAATGGTTGCCGCGTCCATCTGGATTGAAAAGTTATGATGTAGAGTCGGGTTGGCAGAAACTTCAAGCATTTCCATTTTTGTGAGGTTAAGCTGAAGATGGTGAACTTATACGTAATAATAGTGTTTTTATTTCCATTTTTCATCATAGAGTATCTGCATATGTGTAATTTTCTGATGCTGATAATTATATATACTGTATATATTTTTCTTAAAAAGTGGCACTTTAAAAATCCCAAATACGCACATCATACATGTTTTGCATACACAGCTATACAAAACAAATATGCTCATGAGAAAATTTTGCACAGTATTAGTGGATTTATTTTCATTTTTGATTGTGGAGTAACTGCATTTGTGTCAATGTTAGATATAAAACTACAACTGCATGTAAAACTACTCCAGCAAATGTGTTTATAAGAAACTTATGCACAATAACAGTGCATTCATTTCCATTCATGTAATATCTGCATTTGTGTAATATTGTGTAAGATTAGATACAACTTTAATGTTATTACACATGTACAAGTACAAGGCAAAGACATGCAGTTAAGGTCTAACCTGCAGTGCAACAGCAGCAAGTGCAGGACACAGGAATAAGTTATAAAGTGCAGTTATAGAAAAAAAACATGGTGATATTTACAGATGGATGTACTATGAACATTTTATTCAGGCTGTGTTAACTATGAACAGAGATTTACAATAAATTAATATATGTAGAGGTTGCTATTATTAATTAAAGGTATGCAGATAGATATGAACATACTGTAATTACAAATGTACATGGGCAGTAGATATGTACAGTTCAGGATGAATAAGTGCAACGTAGTGTGATTAATTTGTGCAATTGTAATTGTGCAAAATAAATAATACATAAATGCAGTGTTTATTGGCTGTGTAGGTTATGAGGAGAGTGTGGG